CCTTACTTCATACGTGTAAGCCAAAATATTTTAGAATAAATGGTATATTCTATAAAATGCAGTTAGCATTTGCTTACACCACAAATGAAAGTAAATTGGAACAGCTTCTGAAGCAGGAATACTTGAAAGCAAATCCTGGGTGTGTCCCTGACTCTAAGTATGAGCCCCTACTCTCAGAATTTTAGTTTTCCTGGTGTTAAGATGGGGATAATTGTGCCTAAGTTGCAGTTTGGAGATCTAGGAATTACAAGTAAGGCACTTCCCACAGTTCCTGTGTCTAACAGGTACATATTAAAGAATAACCTCGTGTATCAAAGTCATTGTATTAAGTCTCTTTGTTTACAATATCAAACTAACTGGTGCTATTTATAAAACCTTATCATTTATATTCATTTAATTTGTACTTAATATATTTATAAAAACTAATTATACCAACATTATTTATCTTGTGATCAAGAGAAAACCTTCCCTATGAAATACTGGAAAGCAGACTTCCAATAAATATTTATAAAATTAATAAAACATATAGAGATTGTATTTCATATGTCGTATTTGAGGAAGGAGAAAATCATAAAGTATACATTTGAGATAACAGCTGAAATTCCAAGTCACAAACCAGGTAACTGAGTTTCTAAATGTTTTTGAATCATTCATGTGTACAATTTCTGGAAATTAATTTGAGCAAAAGTTTTATACACTGGCTCTTGTCATTTCTGGGTAATTCCAGAGGGCTGAGCCCAAGAGGCACAGAGCAGAAGCTTGAAACAAAGAGAAATCTCAGAATCAAAGACAGCAACTCAGTAAAAGGAAAGTGCACCTATTCTGTGGCCTAGCAAATTGGTGACTTTTTATCGTTTGCAGTGTCAGTGATGAGCCTTGGAGGGCATCATCAGGGGTTCTCCGTACAGCCCTGCCAGAGGAGGTAAGAGCTGGACAGGCAAGTTGAACCATCCCATGCAGTGGTCTCTATTTGATGTTATTTCCTTATGTATGTCTCATAGAAAACAAGACACAGAAATGATAATAACTGCAAAATCATCCATGGAAAAACCTTAAGGCTCTCTGGCAAAGCTATTCCGCTTTGAATATATAACATATACACTCAACCTTTGATGAAGTCAGGAATTTTGTGTTTTGTTTTGCATTTATTTGATTGTGAATAAATCATGTCATATATTGTTATCTGTAGAAACTGCTAAACATCTGATTTTGGCATAACTATTATGCAGAGAATAAATTCAAATTTTCAGATATCAGCAAACATAGGAGAAAGGTATTTGATGTAGTGGAGAATAGACTAAAATTTATGGGAAAGGACAAAGGAGTGTATCAGCTATGAGAATGAAGCTCACAGTTGAACACTGATGGATGCAGCATGTCAAAACAATTTTGGAAGGATTTCCAAATAAGGCAGATTATGGTGAGTTCCAAATTAGAAACAGAACATATTAAGTGAAGAAAACCACTGATGAAAGAATTACTTCTCTGTCTTCTGAAGCCATTTAACTGGAGGAGTTATGGAACATTCCCAGGTCCTCTTCAGCCAAGTGAGTTACAGTGGAATTTACAAAGCTGTTTTACCCCACATTTGTGAAATGGAAAATACTTTAGCTCTAAATGAATAATTTAACTGAGGGCAACATGCTATAACATATTTGGGTCTTTGTTCTTTTGATGTCATGAAATCTTAAAAGAATTTTCTTTTCCTGATTGCATTTCTACATTACCTCTCACAGGTTAAGAGAATGGCCTCCGTTCCAACGATTATGCCAGGAACTGAGGTTTACAAATTCAGTCATCTCCCAAAATGTGCGGTATTACTGTAGACCTAACACATTTTGGATTTTTAGTTTCACTAAAGGCTAGAAAAAGAATAACTTTTGGGATCAGTAAATTTGGCTTCCAATAACAAATATTTAATCTTGCATGTCAAAATGAAGTAGAGATTTCCACTGATTCACTGTCTAGTGGATACATACCTTTTAAAATTTCCTTTTGCTAAAATCTATCTCTTGAATATTCACTAAGATCCCTCTCTCTCTTTCTTTCTTTCTGATATAAGCAAATATTCTTCTACTTGCTACTTTTAATTCCATTTTTGTGAAGATTGAGTTAAAAGCCCACATCACTGTCACTGAGCTACCCCGCTTAACTTCTTTATACCCTGGATCTCTCCTCAGTACACATTCTTTCACCCACAATTGCCTCCAAATACAAAAAGTCATTCCTCTCTCATCATTCAGAAATAGAATCTCCATCACTAAAGCTGCTTAGGGGATGAAACAGCTGAGAGTGGAGTGTGTGCTTAATCAGATTTGGGAGCTGCCTGGAGGGCTAGAGGAGCACACTTGTAGGTGTGTCTGGGTGGTCATGGAGGTGGAGCCTTGGACTCTGTGTCTGGTCCCTCACCCCTTCTTCTCTGGCTCTGTTTCCCTGCTTTCCTGCCTGTCACTATGAACTAAGAAGCTGAGCTCTGCCATGCCCTTCTGCCATGATGTTTATGCTTTGGAGATCCCCAATTTGGACTGGATCACCTGAAAAACATGACAAATTAAACTGCATCTCCTTTAAATTGTGGGTGCAAGGTATTGTGTTCACTGACAGGAAAGCTGACTACTACAGAAAATCGTTCCCTGAGAAGTGGGGTCATTGCTGTGACTGCACCTAGCCATATGGTTTGGAAGCCTCTGGAAGTGGTATGAGAGAGAAGTTTGGAAAGGTTTAGAGATGCTGGCTAGAGAATCTTTAGAATGCTGTAAACTGATTTTGATGGGTGAGTCTGGTCAGAGCAGAGAAGACCAGAATGCTGTTAGGAATGTAGACAGTAAAGGCCAGGCTCAAGAGGTTTTGGGAGGAAACAAAGACTGAGAGTGAGGGTGGTGGACTAATACACCTGGCAGAGGAAATTTCAAGAGAGCCTAACATTCAGGCTGTTGCATGAGTACTGCTGACTGCTTTTAGCCAGACTTATAGTTAGAATCAGAGGCAAAATGTAGAGCAGAAAAATTTGAAAAATTTAAACTATATGTAAAACTGGAGCCAAAGGAAGTATGGCTATTGTGATTAGCATCGTTAAAAAGAAATCAAGTACTTTGTACAGACACAAGAAGAAATATGCCTTGAGGGCATCTCAGGAATCAGCAAAACTTCACCCATCTCAGGTTTAAATGTCAACCTTTCATTTGAGAAGAGAGTCCTGGAACTCCTGCTGCAGATGGGCCTTCTAGGAAATTGGTTCCCCAGAATTCACTTCACCACACTCAGTTATGCAGGCAGTCTGAGGCCACTGCAACCATGCACCAAGGGAGGCTGCCTACTGCTCCCTCTGACAGCAGATCTTGGCATCATCTACATGATTCTGGCATGTAAAATGCAAGATTTGTGGTTTCAGGAATCTTCCACCCAGATTACAGAGGAAGGCCTGGGGGGTCAGGCAAGAGGCCCCTAAGAAGGCAAGGTGTAAATGGAAAGCTATGGGGATGAAGTCAAAGATGAAGTAGAGACCCCAGGAATATGGAGACCCAGGAATGTGAAATGTCTGCTGAGGAAAGCTGCAGGCTGTCAGTGAAGCCAGCCCAAGAGATAGGCCATGTGGGTCTCAACCATCAAGGCTATGGGGATAGGGTCACCCAAGCCCTTAAGAACTTGCATTTTATGATCATGTGATCTGAATGTAGGCTATGAAGCTGCAAGTATTAATGTTTCTCCTGGTGTTTCTCCCTCTTTCTTTGGTCAAACTCTTTTCTATCTACCAACTCCTTTTTTTGGAATAGGAATTGACATCTTACCTATGGCATTTTACCTTGAAATTATGTGACTTGGTTTTGATATTTACAGAGGTTCACAACTACAAATTTGCCTTGAATCTCAGAAGAGACTTGGACTTGGATGTTTGAAAAATGCTGCAATTGTTGAGACATTGGGGAAGGGATTATTACATTTCCAGTTGTACTCTGGATAGATCTATTATGTAAGGTGGAATTATGACCTTGCCATCGTCACTGTAGTATGGTTTAAGGAGATGTGTTTGGGCATGAAGTTGACACTTGGTGGGTTTTGGTAGTTAGAGCGTAGTGTCAAATTGATTGGTACTGGGATCCACCCAGGGTGTTGGTGGAACCCAGTTCCAGATGTGTCTGGGTGAATCATGGACGTATGACCTTGGGGTCTATGTGTGGTCCCTCACCCCTCTGGCACTGTTTCCCTGCTGTGCCTTGTGGCTGTCATAAACTAAGAATCTTTGCACTGCCACTCCCTACTGTCATAGAGCCAGATGACTGGACTGAATCCCTGACTGTATACCCAAGCAAAACTCTGCTCCTCTAACTTGTAGGTATTGAGTATTGTGTTCATTGATGGCAAAGAAGACTAATATATTCACTACTCTTTTATTTTTTCAGCACTAGGGACTGAACCCAAGGCCATGGCACTGAGCTATTTTTATTTTTCATTTTGAGACAAGGTCTCATTCAGCTGTTGTGGTTAGTCTTGAACTTGTGATCCTCCCACCTTTGCCTCCCAGGATGCTGAGATTACAGCCCTGTGCACTACATGAGTTTATACTACCCTTCTAACATAGGTGCTGCTATTACTTTAATTGTATTATTTGCAAGTTTTAGTGGAACTAAGTTTACTATTTCTCTGGAACATTGCCTTGGTTGATACAATTAAAGACTGTAATTTTGACAACATGACAATAAGATCATGAAGCTATAAGCACTTCATAAATGAAATTCAAATTTCCAGAATCTAAAGCAATGATCTACATATTCACATAAAATTACTTGTATATGCAGGCATATGTGCACATAAAATCTATAGGTATATGTACTTAAATTTTTATAGGCATATAAGTCATACATAATCAACAAAACTGACCTTTAAAAATAAGACAGGTGTAACACAACAGTCCTATTTCAAAGCACCCTAAGCCATCATCTCTTCACTGATCACAAGTAGCAGGCAAGGCACCCTCATATGAATGTGTAGCTATGTATTACCTCTTCTTTTCTTCCTTCGTGTCCTTTCTGTACAAACCAGATGACTTTGGCTTGTAAAGAACGTGGGGTACATTCCAGCAGGGTACTGTTGTTCTCTATGCCATAAGCCAGGCGCTCTTCAGCTTGAGCCAAGGCATCTCCTAAAACAGGAATGTGAACATCAGCCTTGGGACTTTGATTTTACTGATACATATTTTTTTTTTTTACCACCTTCTCTATTAAGATCCCTGCAGAATGTGAATAACTAATTAGTTACTGCTAATTTATATGCAAAACATTGAAGGGGACTGTAGGCATTACAAAAGGCAAGGAAGCCATGGAGCTTGAAGAAAGGAAGCAACAGGGATTTGGGGGACAGAAGATAGGATGGCCAAGGCAGAGCAAATCTCATCAATATTGAAGTCATGGGAAATCAATGGTAAGGCACACTGATGAGGCAGTGGGACAGTGTGAGCCTCGAATGTCCAAGCAGGGTCGCAGAACAAAATCACAGCGACAGACAAAGCAGAAGTCAGGAATCTCAGTGATCAGTCACAGCACAAGAACAAGTGTGAGTGATGGCCAGGTGTCAGGCTCCTTCATAAGAAAGTACAAACTGGAACTCAGGGTTTCATGGACCACAGTTGCTTGGCTATACTCTGTCTTACACCAGAAGGATGCTCACTAGGCTTAAATTCAAATCTGTGGAGAGGTAAACATGCTTGCCTGCACTGCAGAATAGAAGCAAATACATTTTTTTTCTTTTTTCTTTTAACCAAGGTAAATTCAGCAACTAGGTCACATGATTTGTCTAAGTTCCCTTCACCTTCAAATTGACCCTTAATTTTTTTTAAAATAAAGGCTATCCTTCTTCTTCTTTTTTTTTTTTTTTTGGTACAGGGAATCAAACTCAGGACCTTGCACTTGCCAGGCAGGTGCTAATGCCACTGAGCTCTATCTCTGGCCCCCTTCTTCTTGATGGTATTCCCAGGGACTTGAGTTCTGCCCTGAATCTTGAATCCTCCTGAGCCTAACACACTAATTCTGAGTGGGAACAACCACACTGAAACTCATCATGATGCTCTTCCTCCTGTCCCTTCCTGGCAATCCCAGGGACACGAAACACAGCCTACTCATCATCCTTCATGATGCCAAGGGCCTGGAGAGTGACTTTTCTGTCTCATTGAATTTCCTTACATTTGGCCAAAGCTGAAGTTTCTTCTCATTCTTACCCCATCAGACCACCTACCACCGATTTCAGACCATCACCTCCAGGTCAAGGCATAGCTTCCTCCAGGAGCAGAGGAGAAGCTCTCTGCTTGATTTCATATTTCCCTGAGGGAATCTACACCAGTTATTCACACTTCTTAAAAATCAGTAAGGAGAGGGCCAGGCCTGCTTATCACCACAGCAGCAGTCACCTGATGCATGCTGTGTCTTTATTCTAGGATCCCCTGTGTTAAGGTCCATTATTAAACCTTGGAGATGGCATATCAAGCTGATTGTGCTACCTATGCATCCTTACATTTGAAACCCATAACATTTTGACTATGTGAAAGAGGACAGCAAATACTTTGGGTAACATTGCTCTAGTACACATAAACCAGGAGAAAAACAACTCATTGCGTTTCAGATGTGCAGTTAATCTCCGAGGCACACTCTAACCCGCGGCCGCTGATTTCTCGCACATTACCAGCGAACTGCTGCCCCACGCACTGCTGCGCTGCATTTCCATGCCGGACATCTTGCCGGCGGAACCGCCTAGAAGGAAAAACACATTGCGATGTTCAGATTTCAGTTTTCTAGATTTTTAAATACAGATAACCACATTAAAGACTCAACAAGTATTCTGCTGGAAAGAACTGACCAGCATTTAAAACAAATGTAAAATCCAAGTGCCGGAGTGTCCACTTTTCCACTCAGTATTAAGTAGCTGTTCTTTAAATCTTGATATAAACTGGGTTCTGAAGCACCAAATAATAATCTAATAAATGACACTTTACGTTTTGTGAAAAATGTGGTTCAACAAGAAAACTTTTGGTTCGAAAGAGTGTTTTAGGCTGCAAGGGTTGTGTGCAAATAGGAACAAAGGAATTTGAGGCACAATACCTTTTTGAGTACAAAGGTGCATGAGAAAAAGGTATTTGAATTCAAGTATTTTACTTTAGTGCCATGATGATCAATTAGCATAAATATAGTTTCTAATAAAAAGAGAAGTCAATAATACATTCAGCTTAATCATCTATTCAGAGATGATATTCAGGAAGTAAGCATGCTGTACAATGTGCTAGTGTGTTAGGTTTAATAGGACGTCTTGCATTGGTTGGGGCTCAAGAAGTTTCAGGAGTTTTTCCCTTCAATCTGCTTATTAGATTTAGGGCCATTTTAGTGTATTTTCACACTATTTTATAGGATTTTTAAATTTTTAAGTAAAATAAGAGTATAGTTGTCTATGTGCATAGGAAAGACTTCCAGAATATATATAAGCATTTAAAATTTTAAGCATCTTTCTGAGAAACTGACAGTGAAAATTATCATTTCTAGTCCTGGAATTCTAAAATCAAGATCTATGTTATACTTAATTCAAATCAGAGACAAAGACAGAAATATTTACAAAAAGGTGGAAAATACTACTTGCTTGTCTAAATCAAGGTGCTGGTTCAACACTGAGGGAAAAACAGAAGGCCAAGCGGGAATATTACTTCTAAAATGACAGTGAGGTGCTTTCACTCTGTGCAATCATAGAATTGAGAAAAGTGAAAGAAAACTCTGACATTCAAATGCCGAGGCCCTGCTGACACCGCGTGTGACCTTTTGCCTACGGCTGGCCTGCTCTGGCTCTTTGTGTTCTGATTTGTAAAATGGAATTGGGTGAGTGACACCTGAAGTCTACTGTGGCCTCATTTTGTAATTTCCAGTCTTGTCTGTTCTCCTACAAAACGCGAAAATGGAACATTACTTCAAGAGACATAGTGCCTTCTCAAGGGAGTTTTCCAAGCTTTCTCTGAGCTTTCTCACCAATTTACCACAGAGGAAGAGGTAGGGAAGACTTACAGTTTCAGTCAGTTTTAGGATTAGGAATCATATAAAAAATCTGGCGTTTGTTTTAAATCAGTCACTGCTGAGAAATCTGTATCTAAAGACATGGGGTTGTACGAAGTCAAGATTAAAGGTGCTATGTGGCCGAGTCCATGGAGCTAGACTGAATTGAACTGGGAAAAAGTAACAAGCAAAAATGGACAATTTTATGGTTTTCAATAACTTTGTACTAGCAAGTGCCGCTGTCATTCACGTGATAGCGGAGTTAGAAGAGAACTTCACTGCTGCTGTTTATTCTTCGCTTCAGTGTTTGGAACCTGAAGCTGCTGAGCGACAATGAAAATGGAGCAGGGATAGAAACATAGGAAACAGAGGTGGTGTTTTATCAAGATTATGATATAGTGACGTGAGAATAAAGGGAACAACAATCCTGCCATTCTAGATAAGCCATTTAAATAGTAAGTGAAGAGCAAAACATTTGTTTAAAATCACTGGAGGGGCTGGGGATTTAGCTCAGCGGCACAGTGCCTGCCTGGCAAGCGCAATATCGTGAGTTCAAGTCCCAGTACTGGAAAAAAAACAACAACAACAAAATAAAATAAAATAAAATAAAATCACTGGAGACCTGCCTTTTTAAAAGTGATATGACCCCCTCCAGCAAGATTTCAGTTCATTTTCTCCTATCCCAGAGCAATTGTCTTTTATTTCAGTATTTAAAAAAATACAGGAGGTTTGGGAGTTTGAGAAAGGTTGGGTAAAATGCTTTTATTCTCAAACTTGCATATTTTTCTTAAGTTTCTCGTCTCTTAGGAACTTTTTAAAGAGAATCCTGGAAAAAGACAAAATATAAGAACCAGCGGGGAGGAAGACCTAGCTTTATGAATTATAGTGTGTTTTAGGAGATCATCTTAAACAAGCGGCTTGGGCTGAGAATGAATTCTCCTACCCTGTTGACTCATTTTCACTCTGTGAGCAGAAAAGTATTTATTTTAATGACTAGTTTTCAACTTCGGCTTCTATTCAGGTCTGAAGCAAAAATGATCCACTATAGAAGCAAACTATTTTCCCTTCAGGTGCTGGAATGGATCCAGAAGACCATGCTGCTCTGGGTGGGTGATGGCTCAGAAGCACCCGACACCACTGGAGGAGCAGCACTGGCCGTCACCAAACAGACCAGATTTGTCTACGAGCTGGCTTCCGGCTCCAGCATGCCGCTCCTTCCCGACCACTGAGTTGCCCATTCTTTTAACTTCTTCTAAGTGACTCTTTTCATCCAATCCCTTTAAAACCTTACCAGCCTTGCACAGTTCTCAAAGATGTATTGAGTACCAAGAAACATTTACCTGCTCAAACTTCCCAGTTAAAATCTGTCACCACTATCCCATGCCTAATAGTAAAACTTATTATTTGTAAGCCCTGGGTGCAAGGCTTGTAAACGTGTTTATTGTTGCTAACAACAATAAAATGATTAGCTTTATCACTCAGTAAAATTCCCTCCCTAGTGTGACTACAGATAAACATCAGGAGCTATGTCTTTCGAACAGCTAAAACAAGCAATTTTGAATGTTTGAATCTTTTGAATGTGGCAGCTTCCCATTTCTGCATTTCTTTACAGAAATGACCAGAGGATAGGAAGATAGATATTGTTACCCTAACTTAATCATGAACAACACACATATGTGTTGAAACATCACAGTCACCCATATAATTTTTACATTTTTATGCGCCAACTGAAATACATTTTAATAACAATATATTGGTATTAAATCTTTTTTTTAAAAAGTATAATTACAACCTCCTATATGCCTACTGCCAAGACAGCTCACAGATAGGGTTGAGAGTTGGTGTAGTGTTACATGTATTGCACTTACTCCAAAACCTCCATGCCCAGGAGCAAGCTACTATCATCATGATTTGCATTTTCACTCTCTGCCCCGCTCCTGGTAGAACTGCATACTACGCTAGCAGGCAGCTGTCCTAATGTTATTCACACCCCTTGTACGTGGTGCAGAAATTGGCTTAGTGGATGAATAAAATCACTAATCAGGATTTTGAAGTATGGTTACATTATTGAAGAACTGTTTTCAGATATCAACAAGCACTTGTATAAAATCAATTAATTTGCTTAATTCTTTCATGCAGTTGGTACTTAGTTCCAAAATGTCCTCTCAAGGATTTATTTCCCCTATGGCTTTATAAAATCCTTCTTTTAACTTAGCTCAGGCCAAATTAAGAAGAGTTTTGAATTAATGGTGTTTTTAATGAGATTCTACTGTACATGTGGTTTTATAATAATAATTATACTAAATTAGGTTAAATTAGATTGTGAGAAAGATTAAAAGAAAAGTTACCCAGAGTTAAATGTAAGAATAATTAAAACTAATATGAACTACTTTTCAGTGGAGAGGTTTCTCGATACTTCTGTGTTTTGCATTATTTTGTCTTTGGTTACTTAATCTTGAGAAAAACCTGCTTATAGAAAACAAAATATTTTCCAATTATCTATTTCATATGGCTTGGGTGGAGAAATATCCTTATGCTTCCAAGTATTTTCTCCACTCAGAGTTCTCGGGTTTAGGGAATCCTGGGTTTACCCTCTCTAACAAGGGGCGAGGACCTCTCAGGAGGTAGAGACCCTGGGGTTCGCAGGTCTGTAAGTACCTGTGTTGCATTAAATCACACATTTCATTAATGACATAGGTCATGCATCTGTCCAGGAATTAAAATGCTCACTATCAAAATGAAATAAATGAAGACCAGCTGGGAGGGGAGGCACGGGGAAACTGCAGGGCGCATTTCTAAAGCATTTATTTATTTTCTTTTCGAGTCTGAGTCCTCCGCGTGTGGTGACCTCCACCTCCACATGCTGAGTTTGTCTTCACCCGTTTCACGTCTTGCAGCGGAAGTGTCGGGAGAGGCGACAGCAGACTCAAACCCGGGTGCAAAACTCAACGTCTGACAGCATGATCGGCTTGAGGCCGTGCGCCAACGGCGCGTGAAAGCCACTTTTAGGAAAATTTCAGATTTTCAAACTCACTTTCTGGTGACACTGTAACTATGCATGCAGATTAAAAAGGACAGGTGTTTTCGTGGATCGGGTAGAAGGAGACCGCGGCCCACCCGGGCCCGCCCGCAGCCCGCCTCACCTCTTGGCCTGCGCGCCCGCGCCCGTGGGCAGGTAGCGCGAGCAGGCCACGCCGTCCCACGCGCAGTAGGGGTCCCGCGCCAGGCAGCAGTCTGCGCACGCGCTGCCGTACAGGTGGCACTGGTGGAGCCGCACCTGCGCCACGGCCGCGGGGGACCCGACGAACAGCTGCTGCTGCGGACAGACAGACAAACGTCCAGAAGACTGACGGCGATGCGCACAGAGATGCAGAATGTCAAGTCGCGCACTGCAGCGCACGCTAAAGGAAAAGCCCTGCTAGCGCTCAGGCGCTGTGTGTGAGAACGGATCTGGACTAGGTTTACCCCAAACTCTGATCCCCTTGAAGTGGACAGAAGAGGAGATCCACGGTGCACTCCTGAATAACTGTTGTTACAATTATTTTAAAAATTAGTGGAAGATACCTAGAGAATAGTGTCTTATGATTCTAGAAGTAAAACTATGCTCAACTTCCTTTCTATAAAAATAGAAAAAGACATTAAATGTAAGATCTGCCGCTTTAAAACTGTACGTAGAGTCAGTAATAGTGTATTGTAGCCGGGTGTGGTCACACACACCTGTAATCCCAGCACTCAGGACGCTGAGGCAGGAGGATTGCTGTGAGTTTGAGACCAGCCTGTGCTACAAAGTGAGCTCAAGGCCAGCCTGAACTGTACAGTGATACCCTGTCTCAAAAAGGCAAAAAAAATAATAAATAATAGTAGTGTATTGTAAACCTTAAAACTATGGTTGTCACTTAAGGTTTATCAACACAACAAAATAATAATGCAAAAATAAAACTATCACTTGTTCATATACAAAAATATCTACTAATGTTCTTATATTCTTTGGTCATGTATAGAGTACATATGCAAATGTATACAACTTACTCTTTTTGAAGAAATCTCCATAGAAATAATAGGAACTGGATCCTGAAATTTAAACATAAAATAGTTTTCTTTTAAAAGAAAGAACATATAATAATACCTACCTGAATCTGATGGTAAACTACCTGAAATCAAATTAGATATCAAATTAGATATAGAAGTGTTTCTATCCCTAGAAGTTTACAGCCTTCACTTTTGGTAAATCATTGTATAAATCCAATTAAATTAAATTATAAATTTAAGCATTTCTTTCTAATAGAGTGGAAGATGGGAAACATAGTGGGTGGTCTACTGAGGTTAGCATTTGTCTTTAGGTTGTGATTTTTGTATTTGCATTTGACTATTACTTTGGATACTCAAGTATAATCGAATAATAAAGCCAAAATGTTCTTTCTTATAGAGTACATGAGGCATTAGTAAAACAACGATGCCTTAGCATGGATGTTATTGCTGATAACTCATGATCTTTAATTGTATTAACTTGAGCTTAAACAGAACACTTTTCTGTCAGCGTGACCAGTCCTAATAACGTGTGAACTCTAGTTTTGCAATTTCACCTCCCTGTTAAAATGAACCTGAGATGCAAATGTGCACACTTGCTGTCTTTCTTCATGAGTATGCACGCACACAAAGCAGCCCTGAGTCCAGGCTGCAGCCAGTGCCCCGGGCAGCTGAAATCACGGCGATGCTCCTGTACCTGAGTGTCCTCTCTGGGAACTATGTAGCTCACAAAAGCCGATGCTTTTTGTTAGAGCTTGGGTGATTACAATGGCCTTGAAGCGCAGGCTGAGGTGCTGTTTAGATTTCTAAACTCAAAACTGCAGCGGTGCACCTTAATGAAGAGCAGGCTTCATCAAGGCATGTATGACGGTGCTGCTGACGGTGAGCTCAAAGTTAATTAGTCCACAGTATAAGCTAAGATGTCTTAAAACAGAAAAAGACGTAAAACAAGCTGATGTATTGACCAGATGGAAATGTTGTCATCGGAAATCTGCAGGGACCTAGCCTCATAGGTCCCTCAGTGGCCCGGTCAAGACCCATGGTGACATAAGGACCATCACTCCAGAAAGAGAGGCCCCAAGTGGACAGTCACATAGAATGTATGATACTCCCACATATCGATTCACGCTTCCTTGTCTTCTCCTGTTAGTATGTCCTTTATTTTCCATTTCTCTTCTGTAGTAAATTCTTTGGGTAGTTAATACATGATAGCGCAAAGCCATGTGATTGTCCTTGCACAATATCCAGTGTTTGAAAATGTGTTGTCTTTGTCAGCACGGATAATTCATTTGTGAAAAGTGACTTCGCAGTCAAAATTCCAGAAGTCATTTGTGCATAAGTGCTATTTTTCATAGTAAGTTTGTACACCGAAATCATTCTCAAGCTACAACAGGCCTCTTCTACTGAAAAGTCTACAACAATCACACGAGAGTTATTAGAATCTTAAATCATTCTTCCCTTCAATTTGCAAATTCACGACACAGTTCTTGGGACAGAACGGAGTCTAACATAACATTTTCCTATTTAATTCTCAGCTGCAATCGTCTGCAGCACATACATTTGGGCTAAATGTTTAAATAAAAGTACCTTGAATATTTGAAGTTCTTCTAGAATTACTTCTTCCATAGATTCTGTTTCTTGGTTGTAAATTGTGATGACTTTCAAGACAATTCCAGCATCTATGAGAATTAAATGAGGAGATAAACTGGAAGACATACCACAATCTGGTTTTTAAATAATTAAAAACTACATAAGGACCATGAATACAAATCAAATATGAAATCTGGATGTATAATCTGTCTTAAGAGCTGCCAGTTCAAACTTCAACAGAAAAAATTAACTTCTATAAGTTATATTCACATAATCTGGTCCAAAAATTCAACTATTCAGAAGTCAAAATGTCTTTTGGAATTGTGAAATGTGACAGATGAGAATGTTAAGGTTTTTGTGATACATGAGGCAAGAAAACCTTTCATATAAGCCACTCTCTTAGTGAGAAACTATGCTTATAACCTTAAGGAACATCCCAAGCCAGGCACGATGGAAATCATAAATACATTGTTTTTCTTTGTTGTTCATTTCTGCAGTGCTAGAGACTCAACTTAGGGGCTCACAAGTGCCAGGCAAGTGCTCTATTACAGAGCTACACACTCAGCCCAATATACACCTTTGGTAACTAAAAAAATTCAGGTTTACACCCTTAAGAAAAGGGTGTGAATTCTCCTGTATAATTCAGCTTCTATAATCACCCATTATTTTATGTTTGCACTTATATTTTACATGCACATCTTATTTTTATTATTCATAATATTCTGTGTTTGTGCCTTCCAAAGATAAATTTAATAACACTAATTTACCTGTGCAAATATTTTGATGTTACGATAGAAGGAATAATTCATAAAAATAAGTACATTGGAAGTGTTGATCAAGGAGTTCTATAGTATTTGAGCAGTATATTGAAAAATTAATTTGTGGTTTGCTTAATAAAACTAGATTATAATTAAACTAATAATAATTACCTGTATGTTCCACTAACTAAAAGAAACAAAATTATCATCATTTTGAAAATCAAGCACATACTAAATAGTTTACAATTAATATGTCAAGCAAAAAAAGCAAAGGTGTAAATCAAATATTAATTCTCAATAATAACTATACATATATTACATTTAAAACCTGTGCCTAGTAAACATTGGGAGAGGTCATTATTATTTGTGGGATTTTCCAATGTATTCATCACACATTTATTAAACATGTTTAATGCATCTGAGACCTGTGTTTCAGTAGAATGGTAACTTTCAGTTTGATATGGTGCCTATGACAGCATAAACACATACGGGTATCTCTGGAGTTTTCTCAAACAGCTTTGGTCTGTCTGACAAGAAAATGTTCATGGGGATGTTAAGAAAGTCTCCTGCCCCCACAGTATTTAGAAATAACGTATTTCATGATCTTTATCCAAGATGAGTCTTGCTTTTGGATCCTTGCCCCCTTTTCAAACTCGGTTGGAAGTCACCGAGTGAACTCACAACCAAGTACCGTAATTTTAAGTTTCTTAAAGAAGTCTGTTGTTTGATCTCTGACTGCAGAGCACATCATTAACATTAAAGTTCTAACATAAATAGATAAAACTTACGCCTACTAGAGATCAATTTCTGGAAATAAGATTAATATTTCCTTGCTTAAATCTTTACCTTTTATTTTCAAATTATTATCGGGGAACCCAAGGACCTTGCTTCTGCTTGGGGATGTGCCAAAGTTACACAGGTAGAATACCTACTCACTACTCTTTTAGGACCAATTGTTACAGCAATGATTACGCTGCATAAGAAAGAGTTGACCATTTTAAAGAAGTAGCGTAACTGTGTAACAAAGGACTACAGAATTTTGAAGGGCTTTACAGAACTTGCCCCATATTGCTCTGAAAGGCTAAGCTCTTATCTAAAAACTAGAGCAAATGTATGGCATTACATGTGCAGCCACTTGTAGAAATGACTGATGCTGGAGGAGCCTGGTAGGCACTACTGTGATCGCAGATCTGTGTGAAGTACTGGCCCGCATTCTCTGTAGGATCACGAGGCATCACTGAGCAGCCCGAGGCAGCAATGAGGCTGGGGTAGGACGAGGAGCTCTATGGCGAGACTTCAGTTTGGAGCCTACTGTTCATGAACATCAAGTATTCATTTCTTTTTTTCATTTATTCAAATGCATGAAGCATTAGCCATGTGTCAGGAATTATATGCCATAACAACCCCCAGTCCTTTCTCTGACTTGCCCTATACATCTCAGAGCCAAACCCTGACACTACTGCCAATGACAGCGGTCATGATGTAACTAGTCCTGGACAAGGGCACAACCCCTCACTGCTGGGACACCCGAGGACTCTACTTCAGCCTTTCTTAATTTGGATTAGTCATGTGCTAACAGGCTAACAGATAAACAGATGTGCTGAGAGAGGCTTTTATATTCTACAAGGTGACTGAAGTGCCTCAGCATTCCTCATCTCTGTACCTGTCCCAGTGAACCACACATCCATCTCTGTACCTGTCCCAATGAATAAGACATCGTACTGGCCATCCTGGGCTTCCACTCGGTCCACTGCAATCTGCTTCAGGTTGTATTTTCCGTCTGTCTTCACCAGTATCGGCTTTCTATGGGCAGGTTTGATGGGGTGGTACATGAGTGGGTGGCTTCTTGCAAATCGAATGGCATCATCAGGGTACTCCTTGGTGGTCCCATACCTCCCTCCGTTCACCTTGCTGGCACACTGAAATATGCGTGATGAAAAATTCCAGGGGAGAAAGTATCAGTCATAAGAGGAATTAGAGAAATGGACGCTGTTCAATTAACCAATTATACGTTTAGACATGGGTAGCAACCACAACACCCTTCAGTACGGAAATAGACGCAGAAGTTACAAAGGGAGATCAAAGTCTGTAAATAGGCAGTGTTGAAAACATTAGACAGTATCTTGAAAAGTGAAATATGTGTAATGCCAGGATGGTTAGGAGGTGCCAGCAGTATATGATGTAAATGTTCAAATTATTTTCTGGGTTTCCTAAAATTTTTCGCATTGTGAATTAAATTTTGAAAGTAAAGGATCTGTGATTCTGGAAAACAGTCTCACTGCTGTGCTGAGTTGTCTACGGCGATACCACCCTGAACGCGCCCGATCTCGTCTGTTGTGCTAAGTCTTCTCTCAAAATTAAGATTCACAACTGTGCAAAAGCGCTCTCCTGACAAGACTATAACAGTATGACTGGTGACATGGCCAGGCGGTAATCTTAGTGATTATTCCAATTCTATCACCGTACAGTCTTGGGAGAAACACCCCTCTGCGTTGCTCTACTATAATCTGTGTGAATTTGTGTTACCTTTTTATATGGATTGGATACATAAGCTGAGCAAGCCAGCAGCATTTGCTGTGACAGACCCGAATTCTTAAATCTCTGACTCTTAACTGCAACTGCTCAACAGCACCTTGAGTCACTTCCAGGAGCCCCTTGGGCTGTGCTGATCGATCCTTGTGAATACAGGCCCCTTCGTTTCTTGTATTTTCTCCAGAACCAGCAGCAACTGTAATGATTAACTTGATTTGAAAAAAAAAACTATCCATTTTAGAAATATAGTGCTTTAGTAATAAGATTCCACAAAGAGGGCACTTGGAATGGTTTCTTTTTCTAAAGAAAATCAGGCCGTATTTCTGAGTTTGGCACAAACCTATTCACTGGAGTGTCCCTTCACTGTACATAATTGGAAACATTTTTGACTCGGTTGGAAGCAGCTCAGCAACACTCACTCCCTTCAGTCTCCTTCAAAACCATGTGGTTCCAAGCAGCGTTTCCAGAGAAGCCACAGGAGTGGGTTTTCTCCATTTAAATTACAATTTCAATCAATTGAGTGAAATAAAATATACTTTATGTCTTACTGGAAGAAATACTTTTAAGCCAGCGGGAGAGAGTGATTATGATGGTAGAGCCTTACACTTGTTAATGGAGGTAAGGTTTGTTTCCACTTTGGGTTTTGGCTCTGCAGAAATGATTTCTACTTGGCTTGCAAGTAATTGTGGAATCGGAGTAGTGATGAGCTACTACCAGCTGCTCTTAAAGCGTGGATGTTGACTTGCATGACAAGTTAAGTGGTTGCTCTTCACCGACCCACACAGAACATAAAAATCCAGCAATTTTGCAAACTGGTTTCACACAGGACCATGGTATCGAGCTATCACCATCACCATCATGTTTGGACACATGTACAGTGAAAAGCACAGATGTTTAAATGGCTGGTTAAGGAGACTCCTACTACCCACACCTCCGGCCAGGCGGTGGATTCCTGTGTTCCCTATACTTCAGTGTGGGCACGTTTTTCCTCTCTAGTTGCCCAGGAAAGATATTTTAAAAGGTGCTATGTATTCTAGGAAGGTAGAGAGAAAGCTGCTTTTAGATCTGCTAAAATGACAATGAGGAGAAAGTCTGACCTAGGGAATGTATAGGTTGAGTGAAATACAAGAACACAAAATCTGAGTAACATTTTCCTGTGATTCCATAAGACACTAATTCTTCTCAAGAGGCCAGGAAGAAAATGCACAATTCCCCTTTTTTGGACGTTTCTGTGCACACCAGTGCCCTGAAAAGCAAATTGTGAGTTGGAGCTACTCAGTCAAAAACAGAAATGACAACATATACTTCAGAATACTCACAATGCTGATAAAAGGTAGGCATCATGGATTATTATTCATTAGAATAACAAGCATAAAACTTGATAGCAGACGTGGTATTTCTTTACCACCTAAGCATATTTTAGATACAGAATTCTTTAACTGTGAAGTGTGGTAAAGCATGTGAAACAGTGACAAAGACAGCACCAAAAGGGGTTTTCTGAAAGAAGAATGCTGTGTTAAATGATTAAACTTACAGAACCAGGCCTTGGGTGGGGGACTTTTCCTTCGTACAGTGACCAGTGGTACTCGGGCCCTTCCCTGTGTGCATACGGCCCATTGAAGGCTGCCCGGATGCTGGACATGTGATAGACACATATAGCATGTCCTCTGAAGATAGTGCTGAAAAATGACAGGAAAAAATCATTCCTAATGTGGAGCTCACAGGTTAATGGTCCAATACTCCAACACACATTTTAGAGTACGATCTTCAGGGTAAAAACTTGCAATTCCTTTAAGCTTAGAATAATCTAGAAACAATACCTATCACAAAATTTGTACATATTAAAGCACCAATGAAAGGGCTGGGGATTTAGCTCAGCGGCAAAGCGCCTGCCTGGCAAGCACAAGGTCGTGAGTTCGGTTCCCGGTACTGGAGAAAAACCAAAAAAATAAAAAAATAAAATAAAATAAAGCACCAAAGCTTACCATTTCTTTAATTTTCTATGTATTATATTTGGAAATAACATTGTTCAAATGATAAAATTGATTGTCACTTAACTTTATCATTGCTAAGTCATAATGCTACATTTTTACATTTTTAATTAAGGAAGATCAATCCTTAAAAGTAAAAAATGTTCATTCTAAAATTCAATTACTCATTTTAAGGTATTAGAATTTTTAAAAATATTGTTCTTGGGGCTGGGGATTTAGCTCAGCGGCACAGCGCCTGCCTGGCAAGCACAAGGTCGTGAGTTTGGTTCCTGGTACCAGAAAAAAAGACAACAAAAAAAATATTGTTCTCTCCTCAATGTAGTGTTCTTTTAATCACCATGCTGTTATTATTGCTACAAATTCAATTCAAATTTTATTAGCTATCTCAGCATGTATGATGCAAAGAACAATTTAAAGTCTGAACATTCAGGGCTTTGTTTTATTTTATAGGATGGGGTTTCATAAGTATTGGCACAATTTCCAATTCTTTGTTCAGGTCCCTCAATCAGTGTGATCATGGAAAGACAACTAGTGTGAACACATTAAACTCAGAGAATTACTTACATCATATAAAACTCTGGTTCCTTACCTTCACAGTATCAATTAAAATGATATAAAAATTGCTACTTGCAGAGGATAAAGACAGTAGCTGACTACAGCAAGTTTTCCTGCATGCATTTGCAATCAGATTCTGAAAAAGTATGTTTTTAAAAGATCAATTAAGGCATCTGACTATATTTCTTAATTTGGCATAGTTGGAATTAATTAAAACATTTACCAAGCCTCTGTATTATGAGAATTAAAATAAGTAACATTTATGGATGAGTTTTTTAAAATGTAAAATTCTGAACATAGTATTTCCTATGCCCTGAGACACCTGTAGAACTGCAGGTATGTCACTGTCTTAGAACATTGGTTCACACATCTTACAGCACACCTTGAAGCAATTGGAAATGCCTGGGCACCGGGAAGCTAACGAGAGGCTCTCAAGGAAAGTGGCAACGCGCCTTTGATCACCATCCAGTGATATCAACCGCTGTGTCAGAGAACAGCTGGCAGCTTTTTCTCCTCAGACTTGTCCATAAATAGCACAGTCAAAATGGAAATTGTGGAAGAAAATCATGTTTTGTCTTTGATTTTTCAGGAAGATCCAATATGCCATCATTTAGGAGAACAGCATACAAATGGAACACACTAACCCATAGAAAAACTATACTGATTATCCCATAGCTTGAATTTATCATATAAAGATCTCTGAATTATCATGACTTGTATAAATTGTTCACCATTGTAAGAGAGAAGATTAAGGGAAAAAAAGGAATTTTCCATGACTGTCACAACTATTAATGTACATTAACTATTTTTAATTTGTATCAAGGAATAATCAGTATGAAAAACTATTTCTGGGGCCGGGGAAATAGCTCAGCTGCAGGAGCGCTTGCCTGGCAAGTGCAGGGTCCTGAGTTTGATTCTCAGAACCAAAAAAAACACAAAAACAAGGAAAAGTATTTCCATGTTACTCTTGTGGAGAGAAGATCTCTCTCTACAAAAACAAGATACTTGTCTGAAGGACTTATTTTTGTTTGCAAATAGAAATTACCTGCTGAACAACTAAACAAAAGCTGAGTGGGAAGGACCCAAGTAATAGTCCACAGGATCCTCTCCCCACCTCTCGTCCTACCATTCGGTCAGGAAACACTCACACCGGTCTGTCCCTGCGAGGGAACCCAGACAGTGTTCTTTGTGTCTCTTTTTACCCCCAGTCTGCCACATTTGGTGAGATACTCAGGAAATTGAATATGTAAATTTTCAGCCAAAACCAATTCTGTAGTCTTTTTTAAGTCAAATATCAACACACATGAAATATTATTTTACCTAACATCATTCCTCCATGGATGTAAAACACAAAAATGTAAAGGGGAAAATAACATTTTAAGTCCTAAATGTGAGCTTAAAAACTGCAGAGAGGAGAGCCTGCAGAGCCTTCACTGCGCATGTGCGCAGGAGCAGAACACCCAGAATAAAGGGGGAGGGGATTCCCACAATGACACAGGCATCCACAAGGTCTGGGAAGCTGATGTCCGGCAGTATTGGACAGAAAGTAACGTCACGCAAGAGAAATCAGTAAAGAAGTAAATAAATAAAATACAAGGATGGAAGCTGGCAGGCAAGCACTGAAATCTGTCACGGTATTACCCTGTCAAAAACAGAGCACTGGAAATATTGGGGAAAATTCCAGAAACGGGCCACATAGCAGAGAACTTGGGAGCCTGGTTTAGGAAGTTCCGCTTTATAAGTATGATGCCAGCATGGAGCTGTTACCTTAGGAACTCCATGAGGAAAATGCTATTTTCTTGTAGGTTAGAGAAGGAAGAGGTCAGGATCCTGAGCCAGCAGGAGCCTGGGGTTCTAGAAATAAGGACCTGGACCGAGTGGTGGCTTTGAAAATGAAAGCACAGTCACAGTCCCGGGGACTCTAGGGAGGGGAGGTGGAAGAGGTCCCTAGTATTTCCGAGTTACCAGGTGTTTCTTCTGTGCAAGAGAGAAATCTTTTTCTATGTCTTATACCCTGGGAACTACTGTGATGAGCATGGCACACTGTATATTGACTGCTGCCATTCTCTTATTATTTCGTTGTGAAATTTTATTTTTTCTTAAAGTAGTCTATGGTAAATGTTTAAATTTTAAAAAACCACCACAGTAAAAGACACACTGCCATCAATCTCCCTCAGCACGCTCCCTCACTTCGACTCCTTCTCCCGTTCCTCTGGCCACCTTCTGAAGCAGGTCTGGAGTCCTCTTTGGGTAGTGTCTTTATGAAGTATGTCAAAAAAAGTATGGTGAATACTGCCGCCAAGCTCCATCCAGCAGAGAGACAGACTCAGCGAAAAACGAGACACGGTGTCCACATCCGCCTTACTCACCAGATCGGGCACCCTGTGACGTCTGGCTCCTCCCCGAAGTCAAAATGACCTTAAAATGTGAATGCTTTGAACGGATTCAGGACACGGAGGCAGCAAGAACAGTGCAACTAAAGACCCTCAGGGAAGAGGACTCCAGAGCTACTGCAGAAAGTGGAAGGACAAGGATAAGTGATCTGAAGTTGGGGAATATTTTAAGGGAGATTAAGGGCCACATGCCTTTTACTGTAGTAGTTTTATGCCTTTTACTGTAGTGGTTTCTTTTTAATTTAAGCATTCACTGTATTTTTCAATCATACCTCATATGTACACCATGAGAAGGGGAGCCCAATAAGATCATTTTTGTTTTATGCTGTTTTCATTGACTAAGTAAGTTTCTCACCTGGTAGTGTTAAACAGTGCAAATATCACTGGGTTCTTCTGATCTCTGGTGTGCAGCAAGAAAACATCCTCTGAAAATCAAAGACCATCCCATCATTTCCTGTCCTTAGTCCTCTTGGCATGCAGAGAGAGTATATGAACATGGAACAAACTAGAATTTATTGTAGACTTTAAGATATCTATCTCCAGAAGCACCCAGCAAGCGCGAGGGAAGTATAGCCAGGTGAGTGGCCCTACTGCGGTGGGAAGGGGGCGTCCCAAGGCCGAGCCCCAGGGAGACCAGAGGGGGCGGGGCTTAGCACAGGGGGACCAGAGGGGACGGGGCTTAGCAGCCGGTCAGGCTTTGTTCCTGCAACTTCTCTGCCACCACCAGGTCACAAGGTAAAGCGAAAGGAACGGAAGTTTGTCCCAGGTTAGCCAGAGGTCAGACACTCCAGGAAGCAAGTGTTCCCTGTGTGCTGGAGACAGTGAACGTTAGAGAGGCATGCGACCAGGGGGAAGTTCAGTTCTCCCAATGATTTTTACCTAGGTCATCAAAATACGTGTCGATCGCGTTCGTGCCTGGCACGGAGCACACCAGCCTGGCTTTCAGGAAGGTGGTCCACTTGTTCACCAGGATCCTCTGCCCGCCTGCGTCATTCTGTGGGGACAACACACGGGCCATGGGTCCCAAGAATGCTCCCCAGGCCAGATTGGGTGTGCTTAGGCCTGTACTGGCCAGAACTCAGCTTTTTAAAGTATAGGCTGGGAAATTTAGCATAATCCTCAAACACTATTAATAGGTGGAAATCACTACACTTAAAAGGAGACACAAAACAGTTTTCGGATTGGGACCTCCTCGCTTGTCAGTGTGCTTTTACCGCGGTGCATTAAACATATTTTCTGGGTACTAAACCCTATTAATGCAGTAGCTTCGCCCAAAGTTGTGGCTTTTATGGTAATTTTCTTTTTTCTTTTTTGTGGTACTGGGGATTGAACCCAGAGCCTTCACACTGGGCTACATTCCCTACTCTTTTCTTATTTTTAATTGTGTGGTAGGGTCTCTTCAGTCACTAAGTTGTTGAGGCTGGGCTCAAACTTGTGCTCCTTCCGTCTGCGAGTGTGGGGTCACACCTGTGCACCACTGCCTATCCCGGCGATCTGGAAGGATCCGTTCCCTTTCCCCTTTTAATAAAGAAGGCTTGAAACGCACACACACAAATACCCATATTTCACACTTATATTACAGGCCATGAACACAAAGTGCACATGTATATATATATATATATATACAGCAAGGCACCGGCTACATGCCTTCTTAAGCACCCGCCCCAACGCCAAAGCAACCGTGCATTTCTATTAGCACCCTCCAAATACCTTCTACTAAACTGCTTTGCTGTCAAGCACCCTGCTTGAATACATAAAACAAACTATAGATTTTTTTCCTATAGAATCGAACTGAATTATTCAGACAGCCGTGTGCATTAGTTAGACTGAGAACTAAGAAAAAAAAGATCTGGATTACGTTCATTTAAAAACAGCTCAAACTCCTGCTTGGACGGAAACTGACTGGTCACAGGCCGCGTTGGAGCCTGGCTTGGAAGGCAGGGCGCACGCTGGGGTCAACCTGGGCTGCACACGGATTTCCCTGGGGCGCAGCAAGGGCTCCGGGAGCAGCGAAGAGGAGGTGGCAACCCTGCCCCGCCCCGCTTACCACGCACAGGCGCCCCACGCGCGCGAACAGCGCCTGCGCGCCGCGCTCCGCCTCCTGTGCGCGCTCGCGGAAGAAGAAGTAGGCCTTGTCGTCCGCGCGGTCCTCGTTGTCAGGGACCAGGTACGCGCCCACGAACTTGGGCTCTGCGGGTAGCAAGGGGAGAAGAAAGTGAGGGCGACAGAGCAGCAGCTCGCCTCGCGAAGCTGCGCTCTGCAGCTTCATTTTGGGGAGAAATGCAACATTTCCCTGGCAGTGTTTAGCCAAACATTAGGAAGCACAGAGGCGTCTCCGTCGTACGTGCAAATCAGCAGACCTCGGGGAAACAGTCGGTTACAGAAATTCAACTGGAAAATAAAGGCGGGAGAGAAATTCTGAACCACGGCCCAGCACAAGTGTGCAGTCAGTGGGGTGCGGCCGGCCGGGGCTTGGACCTCGTGTGCACCAGTGCGTGCACCAGCACGTGTGCACCAGCGCACCTGCACCAGTGTGCGTGCACCAGCGTGCGTGCACGTGGCCTGTGCCCCCGAAGCCAGGGCTCCGCGGTGCTCAGCCGCAGATCACCATGAGAACCTAGCTTACCGAGGATCACTTCCGCCTTAAAGTGCTGAGTTCAAGTTTTCGTGTTTACAATCTAGGCCATTTCAGTAAATGACCTCTTACTGATAGTCTAGGAAGTATTTTAATGATAACGAGCTGTTCATAGCATTACACAATTTCATGCTCGTAAACGCTCACCATGAAGTGACGGTTGAGCTCCTCGATGTGCCCGTGTGACAAAAACAAGCGATTCCTCACAGAGAACTGTATCGCAGTTACAGTGTCTACTCCTAGGGTTTGTCTCTGAGCGCAGTGCGATCCCATTAAAGCAGTTAGCGTTGAGAAATGGATACGCAGACATAGAACTTATTGGATGATTTTAAAAAACTTTTCATATATTTGTTTTGTTTCCTTCTTCATCAGAAACTTAATTTCTCTGCATTGCTATGCGGGTAAATTGGTTCTATAACTGAGCCCCTGCGTTTGGACGGAAAATGACAGACACTTCAACTGTATTTGTAGCTCAATTATACGGCCTTGAAATGTAGGGAAAACACCCTGAAATCTGCACATAGGGAAAGCCAGCACCCTCTGCATGGCCGTCTGCAGCCCCTTGGCCCGCTTGTCACGGGCCACCCCCTCCTGTTCTTCCCGGTCCCTGGCCTGTCCCCCTCTGTCCCTGGCCTGTTCCTGGCCTGCCCCCCTCTGTCCCCTCCTGTCCCTGGCCTGTACCCCTCTGTCCCTGGCCTGTCCCCTCCTGTCCCCCTCTGTCCCCAGCCTGCCCCCTTCCCTCCCCCCTGCCCCCACCTGTCCCTGGTCTGTCCCCTTCTTTCCCCACCTGTCCCTGCCTGTCCCTGGCCCATCCCCAGCCTGCCCCCCTTCTGTCCCCCCCTGTCCCCCACCTGTCCCTGGTCTGTCCCCTTCTGTCCCCTTCTGTCTCCAGCCTGTCCCCGACCTTTCCCCCCTCTGTCCCCAGCCTGCCCCCCTTGTGTCCCCCCCTGTCCCCCACCTGTCCCTGGTCTGTCCCCCTCTGTCCTTCCTGCCCCCCTCTGTCCCCGCCTGTCCCTGCCTGTCCCTGGCCCATCCCCGGCCTGCCCCCCTTCTGTCCCCCCCTGTCCCCCACCTGTCCCTGGTCTGTCCCCTTCTGTCCCCTTCTGTCTCCAGCCTGTCCCCGACCTTTCCCCCCTCTGTCCCCAGCCTGCCCCCCTTGTGTCCCCCCCTGTCCCCCACCTGTCCCTGGTCTGTCCCCTTCTTTCCCCACCTGTCCCTGCCTGTCCCTGGCCCATCCCCGGCCTGCCCCCCTTCCATCCCCCCCTGTTCCCCACCTGTGCCTCTGCCCCCCGGGCCCCGGCCCACCTCGCAGCAGGCGCTCGTCGTCGGGCTCTGTGCGCACGTGGCCCAGGCGGCCCGGGCTGCGGGTGAGCGCGGCGTCGCGGCCCCAGTAGTCCCCGTAGAGGCCGGTGAAGAGCTCGCCACCTGCACGGAAAACCCGGGAAAGCAAGTCAGGGCCTGTGCCCCGAGGACAGGCTGTGAGCCAGCACTGCACGTGGCACTTTCGGCCTTTAACACGCGTGAACCCAGGACGTCGCCACCCGGCGCTCAGGGCTGCGGGGACCGGAGACTGGCCCCGACGTGGCCGCCCACCACAGTGGAGGCCGGCAGCCTGCTCGGCCACCTCCTCGACGTCCTGCTTCAGCGGGGAAGGAGCGCGCACCCGATCACCGCGAGCAAAGCACTTGGGCGCGGAGCTGGCAGATACTAAGATCCGATCACTCCACAAGGCCTTCCTATCGCTGGGCTTCCTTGTTGCCGTGGTTACGGAGGGCTAACGTTCGTGTGTGCTCGCTCCGCCCTCCTGGGTCGAGAGATTGCTGTCATAACATGATGTCAGCGCAGCATCCGAGAAGTCTGTCCAGGCTGCGTGCGACCCCGCTGCCCGTGTTCACCAGGGAGCCCGGGCGGCTGGATGACCCTCCCCATACCGCACGGTGGCCCTCGGGGACAAAAAGTAGACCGAGGAGCTGCAGAGTGCAGGCGGGGCTGCAGAAATTGCCGTGCCTTTGGACTCAGAAGTAGAGGGGTCAAGCATAGCTTAACAGAACAGGGAAACATCTCAAACTACTAGAAAATCTAAGGGAATAACCTAAACCCCAGCAAGACCAGCACCCGGCAGGCACAGGGACCCGGGTCCTGTGCCCTCGGCTGATGCAAAGCAGTCACTGCGCCATCAGAGCTGCCACTGTCCGGGGCGCCCGGAAGCAGGTGTACTTCCTGTCCCAGAGAAGAGCTCTGGCCCGTCACTGGGGACAGTGACCTGGGGGGATCATTTCCTGAGTCAGTGTCCTACAGCTTGGGGTGGGGGTCTAAAGATATGGAGAGGATGACTGTATGATAGGCAGCCTGTGTTTTCTGGATTCCAAAAATCTGGAGTATGTCTATATATGCACACGGTATTTACAGGGCTTAAACGTTTTAGAGAATTCAAATGAATTTTACTTCCAATTCAACACATTGAATTACACAGTAATGTAGGGATTAGGATTACTTATGTGTAGATACAAACACTTGACCAAATGTATACATGGAATTTAATAGAATTGAAGTTTCTTGAGTTTATTAGATTTTTAAAAATTATTTAAAAATTTATGAAGGTTTCTTCCCTAAGGTAAGACCTTTAAAACTTTTAAAGAATTTAAAAGATTAAATGTGTTTGCATGATTTACAGTTTGGGGAAAGGAATCAATTGAGTTATACATAAGGTATTGTGTAACAAAATTTATGTTCAACTTGGGTTAGCTAGCCTTTTTTTAAAGTGATGATTGCTTTCATTATTTCAGATTTAGAAATAAATTTATGAAATACAAATTAATCTCGAAGATTTAAAGAAATGTTTTAGAAATATTATTGTAATAAGGTCTATTTCATTTTTAAAAGACAAGCAATTCTAAATAGCTTTGTTTTTCTGTTCCCCAAATCCACTGTGGATGTGTAAAATCTAGGGTATAAATGAATGAAATCTAAGTTTCCCACAAAGGAATTCATTGCTGAACTATATTGTTACATGAGAGACAAAAAAGACAGCAACGTAGCTGTGGAGGAATCTCAGGGCCGAGGAATCAAGGTCCACGGTGTGTGCGTGCAACACAGGTGTGATGCAGGTGTGCTCATGCTCCTCACTCAGCTTTTTACATGTCAGAATTTTGGACACCACACTTGAAAACAGAGATATATTGGTTGAGATCTTCTTGTATACTCAACATATGGTAGTGAGAGGTATGATAATAGGGAAAATAAAAACTATAAAAATATACAAAATCTAGGCTTCAGAAAACAATTTGGTGGAGAAAAGTTATATCAGAACTCTTATCTAAGCATAAACAGCCAAGTTGACCCATAAAAGAAGAGACTGACTATTAAAACACCAGAAAGAGGATTTATCTGAAATATTTTTGTTTCATTTATTACAGGTGAATTACATTTTTCGTTTAAAGCACGAATGCCACCTTACAAAATGACTCCAAACATTATTTTTCTTCCATGTACCTGGCTGAATGTTTAATGCATAATTTGTGTGAACATCAAATTTCTTAAAAAATGAGTTTTCTGTTAGTTTTTGATATGTGTTGTAATTCCTTAAAATATTTTAGAACTCTAATTATGATGGATTACTATCTTTGTATTACCGCACATCATTTAGACCTTTAGTTCAAGGTTGTCTTAATCAACGCTGTAAAATTAACTAAAAATACTCCTTCTAGCCACTAGAGGGCAGCCATGCGATACCAAAAAGCAACCTATCTGGCTGGTTATCTACACAAAAGATGATATATTTCCAATTTTACTTAATTTCCCTTTCTGCACTCAGATAAAAGAAAATAGTTTGTGAACAATTCAAATAACACAGTATGAACTGTACTATTTAAACTTCAAAGAAGTTAGACAGGTGCTAAAAACTATGGCCTCTGTAAACTGAACCAAATGTGTTTCCCTTGAGAACGCTGGCTTCTCAGGAGGCAGAGACGCTCCTTTCAAATCCTATCACTGTGAAGAGAAAATAACCCACGTGATGACGGACAATCGTTACGCCTCACCAGATACTTTCCTAAGGAAAGCCGGAAGCAAGATAACACACTCATTAGGACTAATGATTAGAATGCAGCCTTAGGTGCAAATAATACCTAGTCACAGCTGAAGGAGTGAATGTATGCAGTGTCATCATAAAAACCGAGACTTTTCCTATTACTGAGAACTACTTGAGAGTCAATATTTTGGTGTTCCGCATTGTATAAAAATGACATCTAGAGAGGTCATATTTTCATGAATTAAAAAAAGAAACAGTTTTATATAAGGAATGAAATACATTTTCAGGTTCTGGTGATGAGAGCAGATTTAGCCAAGGATTTAGTTTTCGATCTGTGGAGCTATGATATTAATCAATGTATTATCTAGGCCATAGATGTAATTGCTATCTAATCTGTTCTGATATTCTGAATGTACGTGATCTGATTTTGATGTGATTGACTGATTGTGGTATGGGGGATTAAACTCAGGGCCTTCCACCTGAGCTACATTTCCACCCCTTTTTACTTTTTATTTTGTAACAAGGTCTCAGTAAGTCACTGAATTGTCCAGGGTGGGCTCAGGTTTAGGATCCTCCTGCTTAACCTCCTGGAACACTGCTGAGATTACAGGCATGTGCCACCACACCCGGTGACTTTTATGCCATACATTATTTTTCACTATTACAGTACTGTCTTCTGATGATAATCGATGTTCTGTCATTTTAGGTCACCGAGTATGATTATAAATTTTAAAATTAAACAAAAATTGGTGGGTACTTTATCATTGTGATGCTCAGTAATAATTTCTCTATACAGATAAAGCAATAGTGGAATTAATTCTGCACTGGAAATCTAGGAAAACCAAGTGGCCCAGCCCAGCCCCCTGCTGAGTCACGGTGACTCCTCCTGGGCCCGCCGTTCTGCCTGGCATCTGGAAAACAGAATGTGCTGAGGAAACACTGGTCGAATCAGTGCCAGGTCAGTGAAGTAACAAACGGACCCAGAGCTCCTTTGTGTTGTTAGGAAATCTCTGAAATATAATATAAAACATTCAGGATAAGGCTATGATTTTTGGAATGTCTTTGGGGAGAAAATACCAAAAGGAAGCTGTCAGGTATTCACATAAATAACAGAGATCTTCAATTTTTGTTCCTGAGGGACATTATGTTACTTGATAAGTTGAAATCATAAATCCAGGACCTAGATTTTTTTTCTACCACTTGTCCTCAGTAGCTTCAGCCACGGAGGACTTTATGTAGATCAAAGGACGTGTACATAAATTGCTTACTTGAAAGAGAGACAATCGTCTGATCCTGAGCAATATGCAAACATAAGCCCACTCTGAGAAATCCTAAGGCAAAGTACGAAATTCAGATAATTTTCTACATAACTTCTTCTTTCTAGTATAAACTCTAATTGAAGCCAACTCAACCTACGACGTTGTCTTACTATTTTATGACGCTAGTGGAGAGCTCCAGTCACACACTTATTACCCGAATTTTATTCAGCACACTGGGCTACAGATCGTTATCTAGCAAGAAGCGTTCCCGGTGAGTTTCTCATGGCCGTCTCTCAGGTGACTCAACTGTTCGTCTTGTTCATATTTCCAATGCCCACTCTACCGCCTAAAGTGACGGAAACGTGGCAGCCTCAGGAGCAGTCTCAAGCTAAAGACCAGCATCTGCGTGCCCTACAGCCGCGCTGAGCTGTCTGCGGGTCTGAGGAGCACATGCGGACTTGGACGAGCTCTGTGCCAGCTGCTCTGGCTGTCACCTGCTCTGGCTGTCACCTGCTGTGCTTGTCACCTGCTTTCACCTGTCACCTCTCTCGGCTGGCACCTGTTCTCGGCTGTCACCTGTTCTGGTTGTCACCTGCTCTGGCTGTCCCTGCTCTGGCTGTCACCTTCTCTCGGCTGTCACCTGCTCCGGTTGTCACCTACTCTGGCTGGCACCTAGTCTCGGCTGTCACCTGTTCGGGCTTCGGCTCACTGCTTTGCTTTCGCTGACAGGATCGCTGGCCTCTTTAGGAACGGGGCGCTGGGCGCGGAGGCAGAAGGAACGCGGGTTTGCAGGCGTCCGCCTTCCGGGCCCGCTCTGCACCTGCGCTCTGAGGGCGACCGAGGGCCCAGACACCGGCCCGATCCCGGGCCAAGCGGGTCTGCCCAGGTGGGTGTGCGTGCGGCCGAAGAGCCCCGCCTGCTTCTTCGCCTGTCCTCCTCCTCCCGCACTGGCCTCTTTCTTCTTCCTCCTCCTTCTTCTTAAGTCTCGTTCTCCTCCTCCCTTCTTCCGAATCCCGTGTCCTCCCGCCTCTCTTCCCCCTGCTCCTCCTCTGCCTCTTCCACGCGCTCCTCCTCCTGCTCTGGGGTCTGCTCCTCCTGTGATGTCCAGGGCATCACCAGCCAGGCGTCCCGAGGGCGCAGGAGGCGGGCGGCCGGGGACAGGTGGGCAGCGGGCCCTGTGCGCCGCAGGGCAGAAACCAGGCCCCTCCCGGGGACTGCAGCCTGGAGGGGATCGCTCGGGGTCCAAGTCGCCCACGGTTGGGGTGAACCCAAGGAATGAACCAGCACACTCACCACGCTTGTAGAGATTATAAAGATATGTATTTTATCTTCGTTTGGATTCTTCATTTATTTCTAATATTCAATAAGTCCTTCTTTGGGCCAGGAATATTCATGTACAACTCTGAATATGAATATAGTTAATCTAAAGGAAACGTTTATTTGAAAACATTTTAACGTTATCAAGAATTTGAAATAATCACTTTTGCGTTCCCTATATGTATAACTCCTTTCCACTTCACCAACGTATACATTTAATTCTAGAATTGGTAATGAGTTGTATACTCACAAAGCTTTTTTTTTCAAGCTAAAAGAGAAACTTTCAGTGACTGCAACTTCATAGTTATATTTCTAATGAAAAGTGAAATGGGACAAAACAGGTAGAAAGAAATTCCTTGACTTTAAAATGTCTTACTGCTGGCTATTTGTTGAAATAAAATTCAATAAGTCTTTAACTTGAAAAGTATCCCTGAAAATGCTTCAGTAACAGTAACGTTTCCCATCAAATTATCAAAAGTGTGTGACATGCTCCTGGGGTTTCCCCCATCCACTGCACTGTGCATTTTGGCATAGTTTAATTGCTACAGTTGCTAGGGTTGTCTCCCCCTTGGAACTGGTAACACAGCTGATGTGTGAAATGCAATGATAAAAATCCCTGGCAACAGGATTGAAAGGGGAAAACATGAGGGACCCCAGAGTTACTGAAGTTATTGTCAACTTAGAATATTTCATGAAACACAGCTGAGGAAAAGAGACAGGTGAAGTGTTTCCTGCTATGTGAGATACAGGATATATGAGATACAGGGAGTATTTCCTAGATTTTGATTTGGCCACTCACCTAATGATAATTTACTTTTATTTCACTTAGCAAGGTGAGTGCTACATGTCTTTAATAATTTGAAAAGCATAGGTAATTAATATTGCATCAATTCACTTTTTACAAAAATTGTTTCAACAGTTTTTAAAGCCAAGTTGTGATGGATGCTCTGTGTTACTTAGACGATTAGTTTAAAATGCTTGAAATACAGTATTAGGAAATGTATTTGGAAGAACGTGGCTGAGCACACACAAATACTGTGGCATAGGAGCTTTTAAGGATGCCACAGAGACAGACTCTTATTACAAAGTGGCATTTGAAAAACCATCCTGATCACTATGTGGATTTGTTTTTATCAGCTTCTGAACATGCAGGGCATGGCTGAGGAAGAGACTTGTTTTGCTCCTTTAATCCTTTTTCTTTTTTTTTTTTTTTTTTTTTTTTTTTTGTTTTTTTTTGGTTTTTTTTGGTTTTTCTCTGGTACCGGGAACCAAACTCACGACCTTGCGCTTGCCAGGCAGGCGCTTTTGCCGCTGAGCTAAATCCCCAGCCCCCTTTAATCCTTTTTCATAAAAATGGTTGTAAGTGCTTAACATTTCACTTCTAAATGAATTTTAATACAATTGTGATTTTTCAACTGGCCTTTTGTCTATCAAATAACCCCTAATATTTGCTTGCTATTTCAGTGTTCTTTTCTTTCAAGCAGTCTGAAGTCAACTGAAATTAAAATTGCAAGTTAAGTGATGAAATTACGTAGGACATTCTAATCACTAAGTGCTTGCTTACCTCTGCGGCCTTGTAGTTTTATCAACATTGTCACCCGTTTGAGGGTGTTCACGTTACGTCTGTCTGCACTTATGTCTGCACCGCAGCGGGCCTTACACATCAGCATAAGGCTTAATTAACAAAGGAGGAGTGGGTCTGGAGGTGGCTCCTTTTGCCAGAGTCTTGTTTTTCCCATCAGCACAGCACACGTGTGGTCATAAACCCACACGAATGCCTTCTTTCCCTGGCAGGCAAGCTGCTGCTCGCCGCCCGCCAGGCCCCAGGCAGGTAGCTGCATCTCCGCAGCCCGCATTCCCACCGCCTTTCACTTGAGGGAATTATTTCTACTTCCCCTCCTTTCAAGAGCTTCTGGCTCACACGGGTTATCGGGTTTCCATTCCAGCACTGCCTCCGTCCTACGGCGCTTGAGTGATCTCTCCAAGGTACTCGGGGATAAAAGCGAGCGGATAGATGTGAAGAATTATATTTTTATTCCTTCTCTTTGGAGGGATTATGCTGTAACGTCTGTGTTTAGCTTGGAGGGCGCTTTGATTGGATTTCTCTTCTGAACAAGCGAAGCAGCCACCCCGATGGTGAGCACGTCACATTTCAGCACAGCGTAATTCGGTTTGGAAGTTCGGTGAGACTCCCTTGGAAACGCACCTTCAGCAGTATTTCCTCTCTGAAAAACCCCGGTCTTAGGTTCCTGGCTTCCTGCACACACAAACTCCGGGGAGGTGGAATGTCAAGTGGCAGGGGAGCCGCAGAAGTTACTTTTCACCTTCTATACAAAGTGTTAAAGAGGAGCGCTCCCGTCCTCCTACGCTCCTCAGGTTATACTGGCAGAAGCAGTGTGTATTGTACAATTCTCCACCCGAGAGGCTGCAGTTTGTTCAAGGAATATGTTAAAATGCATTTATTTTGTTTTTTTAGAGTTCTTGGCGAGCTTTCCATTCAGCTATTATTTATAGAAACTCTATTCCATGCAAGAGACTATATATACAGCAGCAGACAGTGGAAAACGACTGTTTTTAGATATACACAAAGCTTGATTGTAAAAAGACTGTGAGTTTAATTAAATACCTACATTTTAACTCACATCCTACTACTTTCTTTGGAATCATAGTGTCCATAGGCCTGACATTAACCAAAAGCGTGATTTTCAAGGTTTGGATGCCTATCAGGTCCAAACTACTACTCAGCCATAAAGAAGGATAAATTTGAGTCACTTGTCAGAAAACGGATGCAGCTAGAGACCATAATGCTAAGTGAAATAAATGGGAAAAAAGAGATTAAACATCTCATGGGTTTTCTTATATGAGAAACCCAAAGTAGAGATAATGTAAAAGCAACTTGGAAGGTAGATGGCAGGACATGGGAAGGTGCGCTCTGCACAGCTGGGAGGGGTTGAGTAAGGGGCAGGGGCGGGCTGGGGGGGGGAGGGGAGGGGAGGGGTGGGGAGGGGAGGCCTCAGCTGTGAAATGAAAGTGCAGCTGCGTGTGGGGTGCACCCATTTACTAGGTATTGCAGATGTGTATCAGTGAAATCAGAGCCCCTTTCCTCATATTCTGTTCGCTCTCTGCACATCTTTCACACACACACGAGCACACACACTTTCCTGTGTGTGCACACTCACGAAAATGCTTCATGAGGGAATTCAAAATACTTTACAGCAATAATTTTCTTTATTTTTTTCTTTAAAAATCTCACATCTCCTTATTCAAGATCCTCAAAAAAACTTAATCACTATGTGAAATTCTCATCTTAAATCCCTTTCAGATTGTGAAGCTAAAGTCCAGCATTTCCCAGAATGAGCTAACATGAGAGTTTTCTTCATAAATCTGTATTTTTATAAAACTTCACTTTTCTGGGCTGAGATGGGAGTGGGCAGTATGGCCGGGGGAGGCCCCTGGAAACCAGCGATCTTCAGTAATCTGGGGACACAGACTCTATGCACACATAATAGCAGGTGGCATTTGCATTAACCCAAATCAAGAATAGCATGTTTTGTTTAATCACCAGCTGCGGGGCTATCAGCTTATTTAGAATACAAACTCTCTTTGGGGCTTTCTAGACTGTCATTTTCTACAAAACCAAAAGAGTATTATTAACTATACAGTCTGCAAATAAAAGAACAGTCCATGCACATCTGTGCCACCTACAGATCCTTCAGAATAAACACATCTAAAGTTAAGGAGGAAGCAACCATTCCAGTTAGCATCTACAGGAGGTGTCACGGATGGCTTCCTTGAATTTTATACTTACAACTCTCATCTGTCCACACCATCACTGTGTTAGAATACTTGGAAAGGTGAGCCATTTTCAACCCCAAATAATACAAGGACAAAGGAAAAGTGAGTGTTATATTTAGAGTGAGGTCCTTGGTTTCCTCATCTGATACTGAATGAAACTGAAATCTAGATTAACATTATTATCTTTTTCTATTATTCTAGTGTGTATATTTAGTGAGCATTTGGGCTGCTCAGAATCTGTATTCTATTCTCGATTAACAAGACTTTACATAAATACTTTTGGCATTCTCAATCAAGATGAATTTCTGCAGAATTCAATGGGTAAAAGAAAAAAGGTACCCAGAGGAAAGCAATTAAAATTCCCTAATGTCACAGGGTAATTGAAAGGTAAAGAATTAACCTATGTTAAAACATTGGTGTTCCTCCAGCTAAATTTTTATCAAGTAGTCACATAACAGCACTTTGTAAACAGTAAATGGTACTGTGTAAAATGTCTCATATCAGGTATTATGCGACAATTTGATTTTTCCTTTTCAAGATGAAACACGCATATTTCCTAGCATCTGGGTTTACTTTAGGTGTCAAATTGCTCCAGCTAACATGGCTTGAAATTTAATCTCGTCACTCCCAGTGTGGTAAATAGATGCGGCTAGGTAAAGTGTATAAAGAAACCCCAAAGAATGTACTAAGGTTGAAAAATATGTTTCAAAATCATCATGGGTGCCACCCTAGTCTGCGATGAGGATAATTACCAATCAAGGTGGAGACGAAGGAGGAGCCGGGATCGAAAGGACATCTGCCCCTTCCTCGCTCTGATCTATGCGACTCCAGGTGAAATACGGGCTCCTGGAAAGGCGAGTGGAAAGCCATTGTCAGTGTGCCAATTTCAGTACAAATTCAATTGCTTTGATGAAACATATTAAAACAAATATTCCAAACACACTACGAGTGACATCAAATGACTCAGGAACTAACTGGACTTTGTAAACAAGCATGAAGGCTCTTCAGGCCTCTATGAAAATCTCATTCTTTAAAAGTGTGCAAGTGATGAAAGAAATTAGCAGTTGTTGTCACTTGATCAGGAAATACTGGTCATTATGAGATTTGTCAGTTAAATATGCCAAGGCAGTTGAAACTCCATAAGAAAATGTCAAAAGGAGATTCAGTGACAAAAATGCATCATGATTATATACCAAAAATGCCTAAGTGTTTGTCTTGAAAAATTTAGAAAGTAATAACAATAAAAGTTACTCTCAATAATCCAGAATACTTATTTTCAATCATTTATATTTATCATACATTCTTTCTATACACATTAAATGTTTAATAATTTAAAAAATGATTAATACATTATTACTGGGATATATGAATCAAGTGCCATATTATGTACACTATTACATTTTATTTTTTTCATATAAGGCTTCACAAGAACAGGAAATTAAATAGAAATATTTCCATAAGATACTATTTTATCAGCTCCTGTTTCAAGGATATAACCACAGATTTTTTTCCTGAATGTTCCCAGAATTGAGAATTTCCATTAGTGGACTTTTTTTATGATTAACCTCCAGTAAGTGCAAGCAAGTTATTTAGGAAAGTAACAGTAAGTGTCACTTTTGAAAGTTTGTAGAAGAAAAGCTAATGTGCAGTAGAAGCTGCTGCTGCTGCTGCTCACCATGGTGCCGGTGAAGAACCCTGGCAGCGGAGTCAGGAGCCTGCGCACAACCCCGAGTGCAGAGTGGCCACTGGAACTTGGGGCTCTCCTTTGGGACTACGTCTTAACCTTGCTGGTCATCCTATGTTTTCTGCACATCATTTGTTCTGGCTTGGTCTTCCTTTCTTATCTGACACACTGTCCTTCTCTCTACAATGTTCCCAAATCTCTACCCTGATACTGCTATTTGAAAACCTTCCAGTAAGTGCTGACTTCTGCTGACCGCTGTGACCCTCCAGTCCTGTCCCTGGATTTGAAGCACGGAGGAAGCCCTAATGTGGCCTCTGCTGAGGTGTGGCTAAATCGGTATGTCTAGCCACAGAGTTTTATCTCTTCAGTTACACGCCACAAAGTAGAAAGCACGAAAGGCAGTAAGTTGAGAAATGTCTGTGTTCACTTCATATAGATGGCAATTTGCAAAGGCAACAACACTGTTTTGTCCAAATGAGAAGGGATCATAGGTCTGTCTGGAAGATTTCACTCAAACGTGCAGCACAGGTCCACAGCGTTATATGGAGGGAGAGATGAAGCATACGGATCTGACACCTGTTTGCCTCTTCAATCACAGCTACTTCATAAAATTTTTGAAAAAGAATAGTAGGTAACATATACATTTTCTATTTGCTCCAATACCGTCAAATGTCAGGACCATTGAAAGCTCAGGAGAGAGAGATTAAACTGTTTGAAATCAAGGCTTTCTACAGGTTAACAACAATGCTCAACTTTTCATCTCTACTTACCGATGAAGTTGCTTTATCAAATGGATGCACAGTACTGAGATCCCTTAGGTACCAAAATTCAAAGTGAGGGGTAAAGCAGTGCAGTGCTCATTTATTTAAGGGAGTGCAATGCATTTGTCTACATCGAAGCTGTCAAGTAGTAAAAGAAACCAAAAATGCGAACTGACAAGACTCCTACACTATGGAGAACCTCAGAGTGCGGGTAAGGGAAATAGGCACAGTTGTTAGCAAAGTGATAATTTTTCCTAAGCAGACATCATAATCTAGGATCCTGAGGACACTGCTCACTTGTAGATTTCAGAATGTGTCTGTGGTAATGAGCGCCCAGTATATTGGCACCTGGGATACCTCCTTTAGGGAGAGGTTGATTAAGTCAACAGGAAACTTGATTCACCAGGAAACCCAAAATCCTAACATTTTACAAATAAATAAGTGGAACCAGAATCATTCAGAAACTTTTATTTATGAAATACCAGTCTATGTGATATGTACACTGATTTGAATGTTTGAAAAGTCATATGCTTATAAACCTCAGATTTGACAAGAATACATGAGCACTAATACTGAACACCCACGCATTCTTAGTGACGGCTGTGTCCCCTCCAGTCACTGCCTGGCTGGGCTCTCGCATAGCCTATGCCTGCGTCCTGCTGTCCATCCATGCTCTTACGGGTGGCCCCTCCTCAGATCCACCGGCCTGCAGCCCTCACCTCACACCGGGGACCTCATTACCCAGGACAGCTGCGAGTGGGAGCTGCTGACCGACCGACCGCTGCTTTCTACCCTTCCAGACCCTATGAGCTCATTCACAGTAGCATCGACACCCTCTAGCCCCACGCAGCCCCAGAGTCACAGCCCTTTTATTTTTTAAAAATGCAGCGTCCTCTCACCCGTTTCCTGTCTTCCCTGCCTGAGTGCAGCCTACTGATCACCACTGGAGAAGACTATGCAAGAATAGGGACCGCTACGTTATGATCTACACTTGTTCATAGCATCACGGGGCACTCCCAAGGACTTTGTATGTGTCAGTTTACAAATAATTTCTAAAAGAAATAATAAAGTAAATACATCTGCAGTCACTAGAATAGCAATATTACTATGCCAATAACTGATAATTCAATTTTAAAAATAAAAATTGAAGAATATAAAACAATCACTGACAACCAGTGAATGGCTTTAGCTAATCCTTAAAATTGCCAATAATTGACGTTTCTCTAGCTGTCTTTCTGTAATCTCTTTGAGCAGCTAGTCAGGCACCCTCACATGCAATCTGTCCATACTTGAAGGAGAGCTTCACACCCCATGTCTACTGCAACAGTACGTCCCCCCCACTTCTGTGTTTAAAGAAATGAAAACAAAATAAAACCCAAATCCCAAAGTGTTCACTCTCTTCTGCACCCTAGTACCTGAGCCTAGTACTGGGGACTCGGTAATAAAACCAAGCCCTAAACTCCCTCTCTCTACTGTTCCTGTAAAATTGCCTGAAATATGCACTGCTCTAGAGTTTCTCTGCTCTTTTTTTCAGCATTTTACACTGCCGCCTGTCCCCTGGCATCACCCCACTTGTCCCGCTTATCACCTCAATTGTAGCACCAGCCTCCTGGGCAGGTCCCTGCTTCCAGCTGCGATCCCCACTTGACTGCCAAGTGGTTCTTTCAGAACCATGAATTTCTATTTATTCCCCTGCATGAACTCTCTCATTGCCTTCCTGCTTCTTCCAGTCTAAGTCCTATGGATTTTACACAGGGGACTTTGTACTCCGGCCATCCGTGTGCCAGCCATTCTAAACTTTCAGGTTTCTAAGTATCTCTTTTGGGCTCATCAGTGTGTTAGAATAATAATGTCAAAATAACCTCAAAACTGCAGATTTACCTCAACATCTCCAGAATCCTCACCTAACATTTGCCTACCTGTCCTCAGACCCCTTTCTGTGTCTATAGCACCCTATGAATTCTTGGGTCAACAGAACCTTCTTTTACAACATTTCCCACCTGGAATTATAGTTGTCCATTTCCCCTACTGATATGCGGCAACTCTGTGAGGAAACTGACCGAGTGGGATTTATTTTGAGTCTCCTATATTAAATAAAAATATCTGTCACAAAGGAATAACTACTTATGTTTGAATAAATGGTACATTTACAGAAATAAATCATTTTCTTTCCTTTTTCTTGCTTGATGCTTGTTTATTGTGAATCTAAAACAATTCATGAAACATAGCTGTAGGTAATCATGTCAACTTGAAATCAGACCTTCTGAACACATTCTTATGCTATATTTTGCAAGTTTTCTTGAAGAAATATATAGCAAAATTATGGCTCTAGCTTGTGTCTATTTTCATAGTCTGTGGCTTTAGTAAGACATATTAGGATGTTAAAATAACTAAAGGAAAGATAATGTTCTTAATTTTCCCAGCTATTCAAGAAAGAGATACAGTATTTAGGGGGCTGGGGGTTTAGCTCAGCGGCACAGCACTTGCCTGGCAGGCACAAGGTCATGAGTTCGATTCCCGGTACCGGGGAAAAAAACCCAAACCTCCTCCAAAAGAAGATATACAGTATTTACACATAGTTTTACAATTTCTGATGGACTCTTGCCAAGATCAATATATCAAGTTTCAGGTAAATATAAAACAACTTAATGACTCATAGAAATTATTAAAAAGTAAAACCAAAGCCTAAAGAATTTAAAGAAGATTCATTTTATCCTCAGAGGCTTTGCTAATGACAGCATACAGCCGGAAGGACACGTGCAGGTAGAGCAAGGAATGCATTTATTTGTTACTGAAAACTTTCTTTTGTCACATGAATGCTTTGGGGCAGGGGTGAAGTAAAATATTGTTTCATACGGTGCTGTTTGTTGTCAGACTTCAAGACTAGGCTCTTCAGTTTTGAAAATAACTGACTTTAGTTTTAAAATAGTTTTGTATAACTGAATTGATCCTTTGAGCCATGATTTTGGAGCAGGAACTTTCTTTAACTGTCAAAGCTACTTGCGACAAGAAGACACATCAGTCGAGTTCATCTTAATCCCTCTGGGCTCAGTGTAATATTTTGCAACTTTAAACAACAGAGTTGTGTTAATTTTTAAAAAGTAGAAAAGAGAAAAAGTAGTACCCTGGACCAGATAGTCCTATTATTATGATAGAAAGCAAGCAGCCCTTAAATTCTGTCACTTTCTTTGTAGAGGTAAAGTTAACTTCAAAATTAACTACATTTTGAAGAGCAAAGCTCCTCATATCAGTTTGGGACTTCATGGTAGTCTGAAATGCACATGTAGTGTATATACAATCCAATAAAATACTAAAAGGCAAGTAATGCAATTTTCTTCCATGAACTGGAATTCAGCTACCAAACCAACCAGAAAACTCAAGGCGTGGTGACATTGCCAGTG